CAAGAAAGTACCGACACTGGAGGCTTTTAACGTGTCGGGCCCTGGGAGGCGATGCTCGTTCGACACCGTTTCGATATTTTCCTGGGTGTTCGAAACTATTTCTGGGACGTGGTCCTTACGATGGGAACAACATAACCTTGGGCGACGGAAAAGCACGAAGGCGTGCGCGCGAAGGCGCGCGCGCGGGCGCGGACCGAAAGCGACTCGGTACGCCTCGCCGCTTTGCCAACAGAGCGCTCTTCCTCCTCCCCTCCTCTCTGCTGCCTCCCTCCTCCTCCTCCTCCTCCTCCTCCTCCTCCTCCTCCTCCTTCTCCTCCTCATCCCCCTCCTCCTCCTCCTCCCCTCCTCCTCCCCCCTCCTCCTCCTCCTCCTCCTCCTCCTCCTCCTCCTCCTCCTCCTCCTCTCCTTCTCCTCCCTCCTCCTCTCGTTCAGTGCACGCGTGCCTCACTTCACTCGCGCGCGAGCCTCCCGCGCGAGGTCGCGCGGGGGCGCCCCTCCCTCCACGCGCGGGCCGCCGCGCTTTGGGGGCCCGCGCGGTCCGCGGCGTGGGGGCGCCGGGCCTTCCTCGGGCAGGGCCCGTGTCTTCGCCTCCGGCTCCTGTCCAAGGCGTACCTTTTCCTGTGCAAGCTTTTCGGCACCGCCTGCACCCCGCGCCCTCCGGCCGCCTGGGGCCCCGCCCGCCCCGCGCCCCGTCTCCCCAATTTGTGCTTCGCGCGCCCCCGCCTAGCTCTGAACCGGAAGAGGCCCGCTCTCGACCCGCGACCCAAAAAAGTGTCTTTGCGCCGCCCGCTCGGCGTGTGGAGTCACCGCCCACCAAAAACGCGCCCGACCCATGCGAGGCCAGGTGCCCTCCGGTGCTTCCTGGGTTCGGGTCTGGGTTGGGTTGGGGTCTGGTAGCCAGTCGCGCAAAGCTTGGCCACGTGCCGCGGGCACGGTGGCGGTTCGAGTGCACCCGGTGCGAGATCGGCACGTACCAGAACGAGACGGGCCAGGGCGCGTGCACGCCGTGCGGGGCGGGCCTCGTGACCATGAAGAAGCTCGTGCTCAGAGATGGGCACATTTTCCGCCACCACCACCAGATGTATGGCGGGGGAGGATGGAGGATGAGGAGGTCCTCCTCCTCCTCCTCCTTCTCCTCCTCCTCCTCCTCCTCCTCCTGTTCCTCCTCCTCCTCCTCCTCCTCCTCCTCCTCCTACATATGGTAGTGGTGGTGGTGGAAAATGGGCCCATCACTCATGGGGGTCGAGGAGTGGACGTACAACGACGCGTCGGAGGGCGCCTCGGACTGCGGCTGCGACAGGGGGACGCTGCTACACGATGGCGAGTGCGTCTCGTGCGACGAGGGCCTGAACTGCGTGGGCATGGGCGAGTACCTGATCAAGGAGGGCTACGCGTGGGACGGGGGGATCTCGACCTACAGGTGCCAGGGGAAAGTCTGCCCGGGCGGACCGGCCGGAGAGTGCGCCGTGGGCCGCGACGCCACGAGCATCGGGTGTTCCCTGTGCATGGAGGGCAAGATCGCGCAGGACGGCGGCTCGTGCACGGACTGCGGGGGGACCGACTACATGCCCATCGTCCTAATATGTCTGATGCTCGTCGGCATGCTCCTGACGGCGTACGTTGTGATCGACAAGTCAGACCGGGCGCAGCAGACCAGCGGGATTGTGCTGGTGGGCCTGGTCTTCAGCCAGTTCGTCACGCTCCTTCAGCAGTTCGGCGTAGTTGCGCTCATATCGGTCGATTGGGATCACCCCTTGAAAGCGATCCTCGGGGCCTTTCAGCTCTTCACGTTCAACTATGAGGTCATCCGTTTCGGGTGTGTCGCCAGCGTCGACTCGGTGGTCTTCTACGTCATGCGGATGGTTAGCGTCGCGATGGTGTTCGTGGCAATTCTGGTTGTTCACACCCTGGTGGTCATCATGGTTCAGAAGGGCAAGTTCATGGAGCGTATGCCAACGCTTCTGTGCGTAGCCGGCACTTTCATGCTGGCGTTCAATTTGCCGATCGTGGCCACCATTTCCGCACCGTTCATGTGCGACTCGCACCCGAACGGGAAACAGACTCTGCAGACCTATCCCGACACGCTCTGTTGGGCAGGAGGGAAGCACGAGGCAATCGTTGCTGTCGGAGTGGTCAGCATTCTTTTTCCCCTGGGCTACTTGTCGGCATGCGTGTGGGCGCTGTTCGTGTTCCCGAAGAAGGTTATTCAGGGCGACATTCCTTTCTTGAAGGCTACCTACTTCTTGCACTGCCGTTTTCGGCCAGAGGCGCGCCTGTATTGCATAGTGATGCTCGTTTGCAACATGCTATTTGCATTTTCGCCCATCTTTGGCAACCAGATTCATCAGTTGACCGTCTTGCAGTGTATCGCCATTGCCACGTTGGCCATCGTCGTCTACTGGCGTCCTTGGCGCATTTCCTTGGCAAATGATTTCGATATCATGGGTCGTTTGGGCTTGGTCGGAGTTCTCCATCTTGCTTCCACACTGTGTAAGGGTACTCAAGACGATTCATATGGCTGACGCCGCATTTGCCAACTCCGTGACATTTGGTAGATTCCGGTTGGCCCTTGCATTCTTTGGTTCAGGACGGCCAGCATAATCAGGGGAGGGGGAGGAGGTGGTGAATGAGGAGGACGAGGAGGACGATGAGGACGAGGAAGGGAAGCGGGACGATTTGGAAGGTGGGGAAGGAGGGCTCACGTAACCTTGATCAGGACCCCCAGCTGGATCGTCCGGATATGATTGCGACCATTTTTGCACGTTCGTCGCAAATTGGCGGGTTTAGTTCGCGAGCGTTGTTCCAGCTCGTATTTTGATACGGCCCAACGGAGAGTTGTTGATCAGGGTGCAGGCCGCATGGTTCCGCAAGCGCAGGTGAGGTTTTAACGACAGGCTCGCTTGGACTCCACTATCTCCGCACCAATGCCTGCGCTAGCCTGCGGCTAAGTGCCTTGAACCAAACTTAGCACAGTCACAGTACGATAATACAGTCGGGGCCCTGAAGAAGGAACCCTTTTCGTTGGGGAGGGGCTCGGTGTTCCTTAAGTGTTTCACAGCATGCCTCAGGTTTTCCTTATGCTTTCGATAGGAAATCGAAGTTCAACTCATGGAAAAAAAGGGGCCTCGTTCCTTATTTAGGGTTCCTCAGGTCAACGCCCCGACTGTACGATTATAAGATGTTTGTAAGGTCTCGCACCGTTCCTGCACTGAACAGAGCTTCGCGCTAGCGAGTTCTGTCAGAGGCTGGAAATTTGGAATGCAGCAGTGAATGCTGCAATGATGGCAACACGTCGGCGGCGGCAGTCAGCTGAAAGAGAGAGAGAGGGAGAGACAGGGAGGCATAGAGGGAAAGAGAGAAAGAGAGAAAGAGAGAAAGAGAAATACGCAGACAACAACAAAACACTGGGAACCATTCTTTCTGTCGGGTCGTCTTGGAGGTCTCTGGGGCCTGATGGCTTCCCGGGCCGTTTTGGGGATGTCTTGGAGCCCTCTTGGCCCGCCTCGGGCTGTCGGAAGCCCGAAAAGGCGATAGCTCTAACATTATGCGAAAACCCATTGCACATTTATGTTTGGCCTCTTGGAGCCTACCTGGAGGGCGTTTTGGGGGCATCTCGGGCCGTCTGGGTGCCATCTTGGGGGCCTCTCGGGCAGTATTGGGCCATCTTGGAGCCATGTGAGACCCGCTTCGGGCCGTCTTGGCCGTTCTGGAAGCTATCTTGGCCGTTGGGGGGGGCAGAGGAAGGTCCTTTGGGGTCCTTTTTGGTTCGCCCGGGTCGCTCAGGGCGGCCCGCTGGCTGGGCCTCGACTTGTTCGGTGGTCGTTTCGAAGGGCCAAGAGGAGCTCGCACATTCTGCACTTTTCGGTCGCGGCCGCGAGACGACGGTCAGGCGGCAAGAGCAAAGTCCGGGACGCGAACTAGGCGAATTAGCTAAAACAGGCGCAGGCCGGCCGGCCCACTCAGACAGCAGCCGCGAAGCTGAGATGGGTGGAGCTGGCGGCGGACGGCGCCCTGCAAGCTCGAGCACGTGCACAGGACAAAGCACATTCTGCACGCCACGCATCCGTTTACCAGCACAAGGGGCGTCGGATCCAAGACACCTGCGGCGGATCGCCGCCGCCTCCTGCCCTTCGGAAAAACGCCCGCCCCTTCTGGGCCGTCCTGGGGCGGCCTCCGGTGGCCCTCTTGGGGGGCTGCCTGGGGGGGAGTGCTGGCGCTCTCTCTCGGCTCCGCGGTGGGGAGGGAGGGGGGGGCTGGCGGGGGGGGCAGGCGCGTCTCACGCGCTGGTGCCCAGGGGGCCGGCGCATTTCAAGTTCATCTCCGACGTTTCCCTCGTCGTCATAGTCCTGATCTTCCTGTCGATCCCCGTTGCGATGTCTGCCGGCTTCTACATGCGGTTCGTGCGCGACAGGCCCTTCCAGTTCTTCCTCTGCTACCACAAGGCTGGTGCAGGGGCATTCGCCCGACTGTTGAAGCTTCACCTGAAGCGCACGGCAGGGGTGGCACAGAAGATCTTCCTCGACGTCGATCAGCCCAGCAGTCTGGACGCTCGCTTCAGCCACATCAGCAGTGATACGAGCGCTGTGGTGATGCTTTGCTCCTCGGAGGTGTGGACCCGCCCACTGTGCATGGCAGAGTTAGCGATGGCACAGACAAACGGCATCCGCACCGTTCCCGTCGTGTTTCCAGGGGTCGCCTTCCCAGACCAAGAGTTCATCGACAATTACACGAGGCACGTCCCAAGCATCACATCTTTGAGTGCCTACGGCATAAGCCCCGCGATGGTGAAAGAGTCCCTGACCCAGCTCCGGGCAGATGACGGCGGGATCAAGCTCGAGGAGCTGCCAAGCGAATCTCTTATGCAGAGACTCTGTGACAAGCTCATGACCGGCCAGCCTCCTGGATCGGAAGCCGGGCAAGGGCTGCTAACTCCGTTGCTGCTAAAGTCGACCTCCGGGAAGTTGTCCTCGTCCTTCGGGGAAGAAGCCCGTTGACTGTTTCGCGTGCCGCGCCTCCTCCCGGGAAGTTGCTTTCTCCTCCTGGGAGGGCCGTTTTAGCAGCCACGGCTTCAGCAGCCCTCGCCCAGCTTTCGACAGGAGACGGCCGGATCGAAGGAAACGATAACGGGAAGAGTCGTACCGAAGATGGCGTCGCGATCTTGGCCGACCCCACGAGCTCGGAGGCCGTGGCCACCGCCCTCGTCCTCGTGCAGCTGCTCCGGCAGCAGGCGCGGGTGAAGGGCACGGGCTGCGAGCCGTGCCTCGTGCAGACCGGCGACCAGTCCAGTGCCGAGGCGAAGAGCGTGCTCGTGGTATGCACTACTGGTGTTCAGCGAGCGAAGAACGGTATGACATAAACTTTTTCCCCGTCGGGGACACCTGCCCCAGGGCGGCTGGAAAGGTTATACCCCTACGGCGCCACCTTAAGGGTATAAACTTTCCAGCCGCCCTGGGGCATGTGTCCCCGACGGGGAAACAATTATTTCATACCGTTCTTCGTCCGTTAAGGTGTGTTCGTGCAGCCACACGTCATCAACAACCTCCTCGCCCATGACGCCGGTAAGAAACGCATGATCCCTATCATCGCGGACGAGAGCTTCGGCGTTCCTACCGCCCAGTGGTCAAAGGACCAGAGACCTCTCATCGAATCGTTCTGCAGCCAGACAGATCAGGCGATGGACATCGTGACGTCTCTCTTCAAGCAGACCCCGTTCCTCTTCGACGCGGCAGCCTACAGCGAAGCGTTGCTGGAGACAAAGGTCACCGAGTATTCAAACATTGCATAAACATACACATTCGGAGGTCCGCGCGGATTTCTTGGGTCGGCGCTGGGCTCCACTGGCCGCGCTTCTGGCGCCGATCCAAGAAACCAGCGCGGACCTCCGAAAATTCATGTTGGCGTCGATTTTCGGTGGAGGACACTTGTACGGATCCACTTTGTTTCTCCCCATACCCCTTCCCAGGGGGGAGGAAGACAGCCAGAAGAGGAGGGGAGAGGCAGGAGGAGGGAGGTTGACCTGTAGAGATGGTCGTCTTTCAGACTTGTTTCTTGCAGGCCATGGACCTGGCCGCCATGCTGGTCGCCGCGCGCGCCGATGGCGCTGAGAAGGACGCCGAGCAGGGCGCAGCGGAGATCCAAGTCGTCGCCCCCGCGGACCCCACCCCGAACGAGGCCCGACCGTGTCTTCGAAGGTGTTCGCAGGTGTTGGGAGGGCTCCTCGCCTCGGGGCGCTCTCCAGCAGCTGCGCCTCGTCGAGAGCGCTCCCGGGGTGCTCGGATCGTCCCGAACGGCCGCTGGAGGCCGAACCTTTGGCCAGAAAACTGGGCTCAGGGGGGGGGGGAGAGATCGCATCGAGCCCCCATCGCCCGTAGATCGCCGAGAGAGGCCCGCTAGCCTGGACCCAGCCAGGAACGTACGGTTTCGCCACCTTGGGCCTGTGGCCGATCTGGCGGCGACGGATCGCCGAGTCCAGCGCGAGGGAGCCGGACTTCCTCCCGCCCTTTAAGTCGGGCCTGTCCCTCTACAGGGGGAAGATTCAAAAATAGTCAAACAATAGTCGGGGGACTATTTTTTGACTATTTTTGATAATTTTTGGGGTATTTTTAATTTTTCGTCGAAAATCCCCCTGTAGGGGGACACGCCCGACTTAACCCTCCCTCTCGAAGTCGCCGCCCCCGCGGGCCCTGCCGCGAGCCAGGTCCGACCGGCGGGCCCTGAGGTTTTTCGTTCGGTGCCCGGGCGCTCCCTTGACATCCTCCTCCTCCTCCTCCCCCTCGTCCTCCTCCTCCTCCTCGTCCTCCTCCTCCTCCTCCCTCCTCCCTCCTCCTCCCTCCTTCCTCCTCCCTCCTCCCTCCTCCCTCCTCCTGAACCCTGAGATCCTGGCGACTCAATTTTTCGAGCCTGGCGTTTTCGCCCTGCCTCGGGTCCCTGGACCCTCGCAGGTCGACCCAGCTCGAGAAACGGAGCTCGAGAACTGACGCAGAGGCTCTGGGCGCGGATCCCCACGATGCTCCTCCTCCTCCTCCTCCTCCTCCTCCTCCTCCTCCTCCTCCTCGCTCCTCCCTCCTCCTCCTCCTCCTCCTCCTCCCTCCTCCTCCTCCTACTCTCCTCCTCCTCCTCCTCCCCCTCCTCCTCCTCCTCCTCCTCCTCGCTCCTCCTCTCCTCCTGCAGAGGCTCTGGGCTACGTCGGATCTCCCCCGACAAAGCGACGTCCTGATCTCTTCCGAGCGGCGCCCCCAGAAGTCCAGACCCTTTCTTTCCCCGGGGCCCGTTTCTCATCCCGAGTTTCTCTTTGCTGGCCACGGGGCCCTGCGAGGGCCTCGAGGGGCCGAAGAGAAGGGACCACTCGTCGCCCTGATTTTTTTTTCACGACGCGATCTTTTGAACGACGCGATAGCGACGCGATTTTTTCAACGACGCGATTTTTTTGACGGCGCGATCCTGTCTGGGGCAGGATCCGTTCCCCGGAGGCCCGCGCGGACTCTTCTCAGGTCGGCGCCGGGCCCCCTGCCTGGCGTGCGGAGCGCGCCATGGGGGCCCTGGAGGAGGAGGAGGAGGAGGAGGAGGAGGAGGAGGAGGAGGAGGAGGAGGCGGAGGCGGAGGAGGAGGAGGCGGAGGCGGAGGAGGAGGAGGAGGAGGCGGGGCGGAGGAGGAGGAGGAGGAGGAGGAGGAGGAGGCGGAGGCGGAGGAGGAGGAGGAGGAGGAGGAAAGGAGAAGGAGGAGGAGAAAGAGGAGGAGGAGGAGGAGGTTGAGAAAATCACTTCCGGTGACTGAGTGCACCTGTCGCCCGCGCTGGCGGAGTTCTGAGGAATTGCCGCTTCGCCGCTCTCCACGTCGTCCTCGTCGTCTCCTCCTCGTCGCCGTCGCCTTCTTCTTCTTCTTCTTCTTCTTTTTCTTCTTCTTCTTCTTCTTCTTGTTTCTTCTTCTTATTATCCTTCTTCTTCTTTGTTTCTTCTTCTTCTTCCCCCAACACGCCCATTGGAATAGAGCGGCGCTTCCCGTTCTTGTCCGATCAGGTTGCTCAGGTCGGCGCCAGACCCCCTTGCCTGGCGTGCGGGGGCCGCGCCAGAGGCGCAGCGAAGGGGGGCGCAGAGCCGACCCGGGAAGCCCGCGCGGGCCCCCGGCAGCTCATGCTGGTGCTGGACCGCGGCCCTCCGTCCTCCTCCCCCTCCTCCTCCTCCTCCTCCTCCTCCTCCTCCTCCTCCGCCTCCTCCTCCTCCTCCTCCTCCTCCTCCTCCTCTCCTCCTCCTCCTTCCTCCTCCCTCTCCTCCTCCTCCTCCGCCTCCGCCGCCTCCCTTCTCCTCCGCCCCCTCCCCCTCCGCTCCTCCTCCTCCTCCTCCTCCTCCTGCTCCTCCTCTCCTCCTCCTCCTCCTCCTCCTCCTCCTCTTCCCCCTCCAGCTCCTCCTCCTCCTCCTCCTCCTCCTCCTCCTCCTCCCCTCCCTCCTCCTCCTCCTCCTCCTCCTCCCCCTCCCCTCCAGCTCCTCCTCCCTCCTCCTCCTCCTCCTCCTCCTCCTCTCCTCCCCTCCGCTCCTCCTTCTCCTCCTCCTCCTCCTCCTCCTCCCCCCCTCCTCCCTCCTCCCTCCTCCCCCTCCTTATCCTCCGATTTTTTGTTGGTGCCGATTTTTTTTGGGGGGGTGCAGAAGCCCCCCCCCTCCCCCTTTTGGGCCGTCGCCGCGCCATGCTCATTTCCGCGTCCTCATTTCCGCGCTTCCGCGTTTTTTTTTTTTTTTTTTTTTGTAAAAAGCTGCTCTCGCTGAAGCGCTGGCCTCATGTTCGGGCTACCGCTCGTTTCGAATCATGCTCCCGCTGCAGCGCTGGCCTCATTTCCGCCCTTCGGCTCCTTCCGAATCGTGCTCCCGCTGTAGCGCTGGCGTCATTATTTCCAGCGCCATGCCACGGCATGGTTTTCGGTCCTTCCAAATCGCCCCAACTATAACAAAATGCCCCCGAACAAAACATACATCGGAAGTGATTACACATTCGTTGCCAGTTCTTGGCCCGCATAGCCCCCCCCCCCATTTTGGGGCGTCGCCACGCCATGCTATGTCAGGCTACGCGGCTCTCGCTGAAGCGCTGGCCTCATGTTCGGGCTACCGCTCGTTTCGAGTAGTGCTCCCGCTGCAGTGCTGGCCTCATCTGCGCTTCCGCTCGTTCCGAATCGTGTTCCCGATGCAGTGCTGGCGCTATTATTTCCAATGCCATGTCACGGCATGTCTTTCGGTCTTCCCAAATCGGCCCCCAAATATAAAAAATGACATCCCGAAGAAACCATCGGAATTGGTTACACATTCGGAATCGATTCGTGTTTTGTTGATGGCCGCGGACCCCCCCTCACTTTGGGGTGTCGCAACTCCATGCAATGTCATGTTACGCGTCAGTCTTTAACACAATGCCATGCCATGTAATGCTATGCCATGCTACAGCATCCGATTGTGCAGATAGAGATGAGATCTACGCCATGGTAAGGGATGGGAGGCAGAGGTAGGACGTCAGATGCGACGCGAGCGCACCTAGCTTGTTCTCCTCTCCCTCCCCCTCGCCCTCCTCGTTCTCCTCCTCCGCCTCTTCCTCTCCTCCTCCGCCCTCCTCTCCTCCTCCTTCCGCCTCCTCCTCCCCCTCCTCCTCTCCTCCTCCTACCCCTCCTCCTCCTTACCTCCTCCTCCTCCTCCTCTACTTACTCCCTACTCCTCCTCCTGCTCCTCCTCCTCCCCTCCTCCGCCTCATCCTCATTTTCCTCCGGAAAGGGCTCAGGCCCAGGGTTCTCTTTTAGTATGTAAACATAGTCCCCCGTGCCCAACTTGAAGGAGGCCGGCGGATTCTTTCCCTGATAAATATCGAGGTCGAAGGAGGCCGGCGGATTAAAATTTGAGGATGTCTCAGGCGAAACGCTTGTTTTGAAATCCCGATCGATAAATCACAGGGTGCGGGACACCTCAGCACGACCACACCCCAGCACGACCACACCCCAGCACGACCACGCCCCAGCACGACCACACCCCAGCACGACCACACCCCAGCACGACCACACC